GGCCAGGTTGGCACAATAAACTAACTAATTCAATGCCTTTCTCCTCTGATAGCATTCAAGAAAAATGATCACTTGGCCAATCTCCTCCACGTTTTTTTGGTTGTTTTTCTTATGATATTTTGGTGTAATATTGTACTTCTTTATCTTGGCTATCAAGAACCAATATCTTAGTTAACATACATATTATGTTCTTAGACACATGGTAAAATTCTCCTTATGCCCCTTTGTTACCCTGTTCATACCACCCACTACCATCACCAAGCACCTTGCTGATCAGCTTTCTGTCACTCACTGCATATTCATTTGGCTTTTTGAGAGTTTCACATGAGTGGAAACATTGAGAATGCAACTCATCCATAAGCTTAAGATTGCCATAAAAAAGACAACTGTAAGTTCAGGAAAAATGTTGAGGACCCTGGAAGGTGATGTGTATAACAGAAATTAAGTTGATGTTTTTATATTTCCTACAATATTTTTTTCCACAATAGTCTTTTTATAAGAATTTCATTTTTTGCATTATTATTAAGTAATAAAAATATTAACCAAAATGTAAAATTTAACTTGTTCCTATTTTTTTTACTCCAGAAACTACTTCTTGAGCCTAATTTCTTGGTTTTGTTTATTTTTCATCATTTTGCAGAGCATATAGGATTGGGCAATGTAGGGATGTCAAAGTGTTCAGACTGATATCCTTGGGAACTGTGGAGGAGATCATGTATTTACGACAGGTATACAAACAGGTAGGTATACTTCCCTTATTGTACTTAAGAAGTGAACGTGTGTCTGCTTTTAAAAATTAGGTGGAAATTCATGTAAAAATAGGATTTTAAACTTTATTCTAAGTGTAATATTGAGTTTAACAAATACAATAGCGACACGTCTCATAAAAGAGATTAATGATTCAGCTGGCTGAATTTTAGAGCTAAAAATTTCTCGGAACAGTAATTCTTAAGCTTTAATATATCCATGTATCATCTAGGGATCTTTTTAAAGTACTGATGTAGACATGGGGTAGGGCCCAATTTCTACATTCCTCACTAGCTCCCCGGTATGCCAATTTGAGTAGGAAGATTACAGCTCCCCAAACTGTGGCCAAAACTTAAGGTATGTCTCAAATGAGTTATAAGTACACCAGCACTTTGGTCTTTATAAACTCTCTGAGAGAAATTGGCTAGATTGGTTTCGAACTTTGAATAGCTTCCTCTGTTCAGTCCAGGTGGTTATTCACCTGTTACCATGTTCTACATTAGCCATGCCATGAAAAAATTGAGTAGTACTGCCCTGTGCTATCTAATGCAACCTTTTCATGTTGAACATAATGAAACTGGGAACAATAGATTCTCCCCAAAATAAAATTAAAGCAAAAGAACTTGTGTGTCAGCTATTGTAAAGGTGCTTTTTGTAAGCATCTAAAATTACACTAGTTTTTAAAATCTTTATAGAGTATTAACCACTGCTCCATTTATATCTCTAAATAAATGAAATGTATGTACTTTAAATGTGCTCACTTGAGAAGATCTGATAGGAGGTTTAAGTTTAATTATAAGTGTTAAATTTGAATTGTTCTTTATATATTCAGTTGGCATCTATTTAAGAACAAACATCTGCTACATGTGGTAGTAGTTAACCTAAGAATGATCCAATCTTAAATTTATGCAATTTTCTTCTAAAAATAGAATTGTACACAGCAGCTTTTGTTGTTCTGTGAACGCATGCAGCTCCATGAGGAGCCCCTCATCTTCCTGTTCTTTGTTAGAGCAGAGCTACAGCAGTTGTTGCCCTAGAGGAAGGAATGGGAACTGGAGAGAGGCGCAAAGAAACTTTCTAGAGTTATAGCTTCATTGCAATTACACTTAATATCTGTTTTTTATTTATGCTAATTTCTTCCTTTTATCTATAAATTAACTTTATGTTTTGGACAGCACTCCACAAAATTTTGAATTTTTTTTTCTTTTTCAACTTTCATTATAGTTTGGGTGGAAGTTTACACAGCCTTGGCTGTACAGTTTGACACTGAACAGGTGTGTTTCAAGTCGCACTCCCCTTAATGTAACAGCACCTTTCCCACTCGTTTCCATTCATACTTCATTTCTACCTCTTCCTGTTTTTTCTGAACATTATTTGTGAGCAGTTGCTATCCTTTTGGTCTATGTAGTTGATTTTTGTAAATATAACCTGAATGAGAATGACACCAATGCAATGCAGGACCCTTAGGTTCTGGATTGGGAAGGAATAAAAACAAGTTTGAATATTACTTTTTGAACAATTAGGAAATTCTAAATAATGATAATAGATT